CGCGCGCGGCGGCGCGAGGGGGAGGAGGCGCCCCGAAGGGGGCGAGCGAGCGGCGCCGCACGGCGTCGGGCGCGTGCCGGGCGGCGGGAGGGGGGGGCAGAGGGAGGGGCAGAGGGAGGGCATGGGGAGGGGCAAGGGGGCAGGGGGCAAGGGGGCAGGGGGAGGGAGGAACGGGAAGGGGAGGGGGGGGCGTGACGGGGAGGTAAGGGGCAGAGGGGGAGGGAGGAGGGGGCGCGTGCCAGTCAAGCGAGGGGCGTGGTGGAGGAGGCGGGAGAAGGGGCAGTGAGGATGGGGGGGAGGGGGATGAGGGAGGGAGTGGGGGGCAGGGGGAGGTGGATGGGGGAGAGGGGGAGGGAAAGGGTGGAGGAGAAGGTTCGAGCAGCGTTTTTGCCGTTCTCGGACCCTGGAGGGATGTGCAGATATCGATCCTGCGCGGACAACTAGCCAGGATGGAACTTGGGAGGGTCACTGGACCAATTTAGAGACGATCTTCGTCGGAGGGGGCGCGCAGGAGAGTCAACGATTTTGCCTTCCTCGGATTCAGCTGGGGGCCCTCTTGGATATGTCTTGGGCCGTCATTCGGCCATCTTGGGCTGCCTTGGACTTGGGCCGTCTTCGAGGCATCTTGGGCCATCTTGGCCGCCTTGGTTGTCTGTTTGGGCCGTCTTGGAAGATCGGGACCCCGATCCACTTCTTCTGACAGGGAATCGTGGCCTCGGCTGCGCGGGCCCAGTGCTGATTTTTCCATCAGGATCGTGGCCTCCGGTGGGGACGACGCGCGCACTTGTCTGCCAGTACACGGGGGTCCATTAGATCGGTGGCGAGACCAGGGGGCAGTGAAAGGGGGCAGGCCTTCCCAGAAAGCGGCGGGGATTCTCAGCAGCCCTCGCGCCTCCCGAGAGGACGTGCATTATGCCTTCGGAGAAGTCCGCGACGGCTTGTCAGAAGGCGCGAGGGCTTCTGAGACGCCCCCCTTTCCCACTTCCCCCTGGGCTCGCCGTCGATTTGGCATTCCACCACGCCTCCGCGCACCAAGGGTGCACGGTGGCGGATATGTGCTCCATGCGCTACGGCCCCCCTCGTCCCGCCGACACGGCGCTCGCTCGCTTGCCCCTTCGACTAGCTAGCAAACCCTCATCCCAAACCTTCCTCCACAACACTCTGCCCACCCATCCTGATCCTCGACTCAAATCACGAAATCCTCTTTTCTTTCCTCCACCTGGGTGCTGAGGTTGAAGGTGCGCTCTGGAAAGGATCGTTTCATGCTCGCGTTACTCGCAACCGTGGTCATGGGCTCAAGGCGGCGCAACCCTATTTGCCTGTGCCGCCTGCTCGGTACATGACGTGCGGCGGTGGGCATGAAAAGAGGATCTTTCCTGTCCCATCGCCATCCCGCCATCGTTTCCTTCACTGGTTACCGTCTTGCTATGCGCGATGAGATCCCAACCTCCTACGTTACTTGGTACTGGAGCTGTCGCACTTGCGGAAGCTCTGCTCTTTTCCGCCCTCGGCTTGGTGAAAACCAGCGCCAGATTTCATCGACCTGTCCATGGAAACGCGGGCAACCTCGAGGACCAGAGCGCGATGATCATCACCACCCACTACGCTGCCGTTGCCACCCCTCGACGGTGTTTCGGGTCTCGAGCGCGCGGGGCAGCCCGACCGCTCGCGCGAAGGCCTTCCCCTTTAACTCGACTGCAGGCAGGACAAGCCCCACCTCCTCCACCTACCAGCCAGCGCGCGAGGAACTTCGACCGCTACTGCGACGGCCCCGACTCCTGTTGGCACCGCCGTCACGAGCGCGGAAGTGCGACGTACGAAGTCACCTTCGGGCGCGGGAGCGCGACGGACAACCTTACCGTCGAGCGCGGGACGCTATGTTCAACCCCTATCTCGAGCACGGACGCGTTACGAACAACTTCGCCCCCCAGACTGAGGAGCGCCGACTTGCGGACCCGCCGCAACCTGAAGCTGATCGGGGTCACGCGACCCGTTCCTCCGCCAGTCCTTCTGCGACCCATGACAGTGCCCGCAGCTAATGCACAACCTCAGTCTCATCACCTTTCTGATCGTGGTATTCTCGACCAGAGGCATTCTTGAACATGTGATGCGAGAGGGAAAAGGCGATCAGACCCGTGGCCCGTCATGGGATCGTGCGGGTAAGATACCATGCAGAGTTTGGATTTGGTATTCTAGCAGGATGACCCCCTCGCGATAGGCTGTGTCTCTCCCGTGGGACCTTCAAAATTTCGCACGCAGCCAGGTCATGCGAATACCTTCAGGCACCATCAATTTGGGTGCCCAGGTGAGTTGTGTTCGTGCAGATCCAGTGACCTAAGTTTTAAACATAGCACAAAAGTTCGTGAGCCTCGAGAGTGGGAGTCATCTGCAAGGGGGACTCGAACTCATGCACTTTCGGGTCGTGCCACTCGAACGTGAAGATAGTGTCCGTGCCCGCGGGGCACTGTCCAGACTAGGACCAGAGACTGCTGGATTTGGATTTGATAGTTTCAAGCTCCTATTCAGTACGCTTGTGAGTGCATTGCGTGTTCCACCACGCGCAATTTCGGCATGGCTGCGGCCCCTGAATGGGATGATACCTCGCAATCGTTTGGAGTACGATCAACTTCTGGCGACCATCCGACGTCGGTGGCACATCGTAGAACGTTCGTGGGCGGACCTGCCAGGAGTGATATTCATTGAACGCTTCTCTGGGGGTTCCGGGGAGGCACGAAGTATGGTTTTATCTTCAGATTTCTGTACCTTCTTCGCCTACTCCGCTTCTCGGTCTCCGGAGCGCTCCAGACGGCCGAAACAAGGCTCCCGAAATCGTTCCAAGATGGCCCGATCGGCGCCCAAAAAGGCCCCAAAACGAACCTTGGACGGCCCAAGAGGTGCCCAAGATGGTCCCGAAACGCGCCAAGAGGGCCCTCTGAAGGGCCCCAGACGGCCCTGAGGGGGCCCCGACACACCCCAACTGGGCCTTCAGATCGCCCCAGAACAGCCCCAAGAGGCCCCAATATTGTTTAGAATTGCCAAGACGGCCCCCCGAAACCCCAAGACGGCCTAGGGGGGCCCCCAAGATGGTTTGAAAACGGCTCCAAGAAATTCGAAAAGGGCCAATTCAGGAAACTGCATTAGTGCCGCGGCGGTCAGAGAACCAATCAATGTATGCATGTGCGTGCGTGCGTGCGTGCGTGCGTGCGTGCGTGCATGTGTGTATGTGTGTTGTTATATAAAGGACAGCAGCACGCCTGCCACGCTTTCAGACCCTGGCGCGCATGGAGGCCGCGCAGAGGGACGACCTCCTGCGCACCGTCTCTGGTGTCGAGAAAGTGCAACGCCTGCCACGCTTTTTCGAACTTGGCACGCGTAGAGACCGCGCTGAGGACCACACCCTGGGCACCCCCTTTGGTGTCGACGAAGTGGCGCGCGTGCCACGCTTTCCGACCCTGGCACGCATAAAGCCAGCGTCGAGGGACCACCCACTGCGCACCTTTGGTGTCGATGAAGTGCCACGCCTGCCACGGTTTCGACCCTGACAAGCATAAAGACAGCGCCGAGGGACCAACCCTTGCGCACCCTGTCCGGTGTCGACAAAGTGCCACGCTTGCCACGGCTTCCGACCCTGACACGCATAGAGCTAGCGCCGACGGACCAGCTCCTGCGCGCCGCCTCTGGTGTCGAGAAAGTGAAGCGCCTGCCACGCTTTTCGACCCTGGCGCGCATAGAGACCGCGCGCAGGGACCACCTCCTGCGCACGCCTTGTGGCGTCGAGAAGGTGCCACGCCTGCCACGCCCTGCGCTTCCTCCGCGTATGTGTCGAGTGATGCGCGTGTCATGTGGGTGGCTCGGTCAGCGTACGCGTGTTTTGTGTGCGTGTATGATATGTGCGCGGGTGTACGTGGACGTGTGCCTCATTGTGGGTGCATTGTTTCGGTTGCGTGCTTTTTGTGCGTGTGTGATACGATGAACACGCCATGTGAATACGAGCGTTGTCTCGTCCACGTGTCCTTTCGCTGTTGCCTGCGCGTGGTGCGTATGTGGATTCTGTGTATGTGTCTCTGTGGGCGTACGCGGCTGCATGTTTTCTGTTCCGTGTATGATGCGTATTCTTCGCGCGCGGGTGACAGGAGGAGACAGGAGGAGGAGGAGAGGTGAGAGGAGGTGTGCGGGTGAGGCGTGGGTGCGACGCGGGTGGCAAGGAAAACCCCAACCCCGCGAAACTTGTGGGGGAAAAAGAAAGTTTGAGGCGCAGGTGCAGGGCTCACATGTGGCTGCCAGTGGACGAGGTGATCGTTTTCTTGTTCGTTGTTCTGCCGATCGGCGCGGGCCCTCGCACCCCCCCTTCCCCCTCCCTATGGAGTAGATCTTGGCTGTTCTTGGCGCTCGTTTCGAGCAGGCGGGGTCTCCCCCCTGGGACGCGCTGCTGCAAGCAGTCGCTTTGAGCAGAGGTCCGGAGCCAGAGTCTTCCTGCCCCCCCCCTTCCGCCCAACGCCGAAACGCCGAAAAAGAAAACGTTCACGAGTCAGCGCTCGCCCGACCTGACGCCCTCAGGATTAAGTCGGGCCTGTCCCTCTACAGGGGGAATATCCAAAAATAGTAAAAAAAAATAGTCTGGGGACTATTTTTGGGTGTATTTTTCACAATTGAGTTTTTTGGAGGTATATTTTATTCTTCGTCGCAAATCCCCCTGTGTGCGATTTTGTTTGCGATTTTACTTCAAAAATAGTCTGGGTGCGATTTTGTTTCAGTATTTTTCATCATTTTGTTGTATTTTTTCACTATTTGCTAGTACTTTTGGGGTATCTTTTATTTTTCGTCGCCAATCCCACTGTCGGGGGACACGCCCGACTTAACCTTAGGAACCGCAGAGGGGCAGCCCGCGGTGCCGCGGCCCCCTCCGCGCGGCCCGACCGCCCCCGGCCCGACCGCGAGAGGCCCGCGGGCTGCTGCAACGCCGCGCGTGCCCCGCGCCGCGCTCGCCTGCTCGGTCCGCCCCAGACCTCCGACCTCGAGCTTCTTCGTGCCTCCTCCATCCTCCTCTTCCTCCTCCTCCTCCTCCTCCTCCTCCTCCTCCTCCTCCTCTCCCTCCTCCTCCTCCTCTCCTCCTCCTCCTCCTCCTCCTCCTCCTCCTCCTCCTCCCCCTCCTCCTCCTCCTCCTCCGCCTCCTCCTCCTCCTCCGCCTCCTCCTCCTCCTCCTCCTCCTCCTCCTCCTCCTCCTCCTCCTCTCGGCGGCTCGTCGCACGGGTCGGCAGGGGCAGAAGACACACAGACACTTTTTTGCGTCGGCGCCTGGGCAGAGGGGCTGCTCCGGCGATGCTGCATTACAGGGTCACACACAACTCGAATTGATCCTCAGGGCACGCGGGAAGAGAGAGGAGTCCCGGCGCGGGCGGGAGGGAGGAAGCCGGGCCCGCTCAGGGGGAAAGAAACCACGCAGACACAGACAGTCGTCGATTCTCGGGAGGGCATGGGACACAGACAGTCGTCGATTCTCCGATGGCGAGACGAACACCCAGGACATGTGGAAGACATTCGGAATCCTGGGCTTTGTGTCTGTTTCTTTGTGTGTCCCTCGGCCACTCCCAACAGCCCTCGTCCCGAAACGAAGCCAGGGCAGGGGCAACAACATCGGACCGGGACCAGTCGGGGATATCCGCGGTTCTGGAGGACGTATCGGGCGCAGCGGCCTCTTCGGAGCGTTCTGTAGCCCTGTGAGAGCGTTCCAGAAGGCTCTGTGGAGCGATTTCTCCCAGTCCTGTCCGGGGTTGCTGAAGGTGCCCCGGTACCAAGGTGCTCCCGGCTTTTCGCTCAATTCTGAAACCCCCTGGGGCCCTCTGGGCCTCGTGAAGGGTGCTCTGGAGGCCGAGGTGGCCTCCTTCTGGAGGGTTCCACAGGGGTTTTTTGGGGAGGGGGTTTCCCAGGAGGGGTCCCCCAGGGGCTTCGCACCCTCTGTTTTGACGAGGTTCCAAGGTGCCTGGCGCGCGTGGCGAGTCTGGCACGCGTGCCGCACCTCGCCCCAGCGTCGCGCACCTGGGGTCGGCTTTGGTTCCCAGTAACTGTCCATCCAAACACGACTGCTGAACATGCTGAGACTCGGGTGTTACTTAAGTGTTGGGAGGGCGGGTGGAAGTGAACTAGACGGCTTGCCATTTAGGAGGGTGTCTTGACCCCTCCCCCTACCCCTCCCCTGGACCTCTGGACCTGGACGGGGCGCCCCGCGAACGGTCAGAGCATCTGAGGTGGCCCAAGACGGCTCCAGGAGGGCCTCCGAGAGCCCAAGATGACCTCCAAGATGGCACAAGATAGCCCAATATGCCTCGAGATGGCTCCCAAGATGTTCCAAGAGGCCCAGAGACCGTTCCAAGACGGTTCCAAGTGGCCACGGAGCGTCTCACGGAGGCCGCCGAGAGGCCAGAACCTTCAACAACCTAGGGAGAATCAATGAATTTTGCGTTCTCGCGTTTTTGCTTTCGATGGCCTTCCGAGGCCTCAGGTCAGCTCCAAGAGAGCTCCAGAGAACCCTAAGAGAGGCCTGAGAGAGCCCCAAATCGGCCCCAAGAACGCTCCAAGAGGGATCCAAGAGACGATTCTAGGCGATAGAGGGGTAAGGCAAATTGCAGCTCTTCCCTCTTTAATCGATGTCCTCCAATATGGCTCCAAGAGCGTCCCCAAGCCTCCCAAGAGCGCCCCAAGATGGCCCAAAGAGGCGCCAAAGAGGCCCCAAGAGGCGCCCAAGAGGCTTCTAAGAGGCTCCCAATAGACCGCCAAGAGGCCCCGAGAGGCTCCCCGAGGTACGCAAGAGGCCCCAGGAACCGCAAAGAGGCACCCAAGACGCCCCAAGAAGCCCCCAAGCTCGCCATTGTCTTTCGCCAGGTCCGCGAAGGCGCATGCAGTTCGCTCCTGGGTCTGCGCAGGTTGAACCCCAAGACTTCACTTCGACGGCCTCCCTCGCTCGTGATCCACTGCATGCTCCTCCGCTTCCCTGATCAAGGCAACTCGCCTGGGCATCGTTTGCGGCTGGGCTGGTGGGGATACTCTTTTTGGTGCGAGGGCGCGCGAAACGGGTCGAACGCTGGGCTAGCAAGGGCAAGAATTCTGCAGGCCGTCCAGCTCCATCGCGCGCGCACGTTGCAGGGTGCGTTCTGGCGGCATGGTATGGCGGCGAGGGTGTCTCCCTGCTGCTGCAGTCCTCCTCGAAATCAAGCGCACGTCTTGAGTGTTGATCGACGCGCGGCACGCGGCCCGCGGGGTCAGATTTTGTGTTAGCAGTCGCCAGTTTCGGCGCGCAAATCGACATGTTGGGGTCTTGGGGCGCCGCCACGTCGCGGGAAAAACTTGCGTTCGATTTTCGAGGAGGGATGTATTTCAACCGCACTCGAGAGCCAGACGCCTCCGATGTCGTGGGCTTTTCGTGCGACGTGGGCCCTGCGTCTCTCAACGGCCATCCGTGGGGCCAGCTTTTCGCCGCGGATCGTTTCGAAATGGTCCTGCACT